ACACATCTGTCTATCCCCCAGGCCCCGGCCACACCTGCACTGCTGAGGCCAGTCTGGATCTACACCTGTGGTTCTAAGGACACATCTATCTATCCTCCAGGCCCCAGCCACACCTGTACTGCTGAGGCAGCCTGGATCTACACCTGTGGTTCTAAGGACACATCTATCCATCCCCCAGGCCCCGGCCACACCTGCACTGCTGAGGCCAGCTGCCGGTCCTGCTCCTCCAGCTGCTGGTGCTCATTCTGCAGCTCATTGCCTCGTTGCAGCAGCTTCTGTTTCTCCTCTTCTTTGACTAGAAAAGAGAAGGCCAGGCCCCCGGAGTGGGGCAGGTAAGGAGCATCTGGGCTGCAGAGTAAATGGGAGAGGCAGAGGGGATGGAACCAAGGCCTGGGCCATCCCGCTGAAGGAGCCGGTGGCTGTGGCCAAATGCACAGGACCTGGAGCCACTTGCCCTGGCCATACCTGCCCTGTACACAGGACTAGTCCCAGGGTCTCACTTTTCAGTGCTCTGGCCTGGAAAGGCATGGACACACCTGTCCTCCCACAGGGCAAGGTGAACCCAGAGGCCTGGGTGGGGGAGGGGAGGGGGAGTAGGTACCCTGTCCCGCTCCCCAGGGATGCCTCACCTGTCTTGTGGGTGACATAGGAGTGCACGATGGCCAGCATCCCAGTCCAGGGCACACCCTCGTCTTTCTTTAAGGCCTGGGGAGCAGATGGGGAAATGAAAAAGTGGACAGGCCCTGGGACCTGCTGGCACTGGCCACACCCTGGCTGTGTAATCCTGCAGAGGCATGCCCTGTCTGAGCCGCAGGGTCCACACCTGTGACTAGGGGATGGGGGCCACACCTGTCTCATGGCCTGGCTCACAGGGCTGCACAGTAAGATCAGCCCCACGAAGCAGGAACATTCTAGGCCTCTCTCCCTGCTCATCACCAGGGCCCCAGGCAGGCAGCAGGCTCAAATACTTCTCAAACGAATGAATGAATGATCACTTGTCCTCTTCCCACGTCTGGAAGACCTAAGAGCGGCGGCCCCAGGCCAGCCAGGGACAAACGGGGAGACTCAGTGTCCCCACACTGTGCTAAAGCAGGGAACAGAATCTTGTTCCCTCTCCACATGCCCTCAAAGAGTTGTGATCAAGAAGAAATAAGAAAAAAGGAAGAAAAAGAAATAAGCAAACAAAAAGGCTGGGCGTGGTGGCTCATGCTTGAAATCCCAGCAGTTTGGGAGGCCAAGGTGGGAGGATTACTTAAGCCCGGGAGTTTGAGATCAGCCTGGACAACAAAGTGAGACCCCACCTCTACAAAAAATTTAAAAAATTAGCTGGCCATGGTGGTGTGCACCTGTGGTCCCAGCTCATCAGGAGGCTGAGGCGGGAAGATTGTTTGAGCCCTGAAGTTCAAGATCGCAGTGAGCTGTGCTGGGACTTCTGCACTGTAGCCTATGCAACAGGGCAAGACCCTGTCTACAAAATAAATAAATAAATAAAAGGATGCGACCCCCTCACCCAGGCAGTCACAATGCAGGGGCAGGTGGCCCCCACAGGGAACAGCCACACAGCAGCACCCGCCCACCATATCCACCGCCCTTGATCCCCACAGAATCAGGGATGATGGGAACTCACGACAGTTAATGCTTTTTAAATAAAGATAACTCCCAGGCTGGGTGCAGTGGCTCACGCCTGTAATCCTAGCACTTTGGGAGGCCAGGGCGGGCAGATCACCTGAGGTCAGGAGTTCAAGACCAGCCTGGCTAACATGGTGAAGTCCCGTTTCTCCTAAAAGTTTAAAAAATTTAGCCAGGCGTGGTGGCGCTGCCTATGATCGCAGCTACTCGGGAGTCTGAGGCAGGAGAATCGCTTGAACCCAGGAGGTGGAGGTTGCAGTGAGCTGAGCAACCAGAGCAAGACTCCCTCTCAAAAAAAAGCTCTTTGGGGGGCCGAGGCGGGTAGATCATGAGGTCAGGAGTTCGAGACTAGCCTGGCCAAGATGGTGAAGCCCCGTCTCTACTAAAAATATGAAAATTAGCCAGGCACGGTGGCAGGCACCTGTAATCCCAGCTACTTGGGAGGCTGAGGCAGGAGGATCACTTGAACCCAGAAGGCAGAGGTTGTCATGACCCGAGATCCGACCACTGCACTCCAGCCTGGGTGACAGAGCGAGACTCTGTCTCAAAAAAAAAAAAATCCCATAATACACAGGACAAAGTTCCACAACCAAGGATTATCCACTCCCAAACATCAATTGTGCTGAGGTTCAAAAAGCCTGTCTACACCCAAGCCCCTCTTTTCTCCCCTCCTCTGCCCTGTCTCTGCCTACAGTGGGGACCTCCATGCCAGTCTGGGGTGAGGGGACCACACAACCCCCGTACCTTCTGCTGGCACCTGGGGCACACCCACACACCCTTGGGCGCCGTCTTGAGGGGCGGGTCCAGGCAGCTGAGGTGGTAGGCCCCCGGGCAGGCACCGCAGGGCTGCAGGTTGGCACCTCGCTTGCAGGCAGCACAGTGCTCATCGTGGGTGATCTCATTCTGGAAGAGAAGGGAGAGCAGAAGGCAGGTCAGCCAGAGCCGGGTCAGCCAGAGTCAGGTCAGTGGGGGCCGAGTCAGCCCGGGCCGGGCCCAGGCAGCTGCGTCTGACCCACGTGTGGCCATTCTCCTGCCAAAGTTTCCCAGCAGCTCTATGGACAGAGGGGGTGACAGTGTGGGCTCAGGCCTGGGCCCCAGGAGGCAGGGGGGCACTCACAGGGCCCGGCTGACTAGAGGCTGGGGAAATGAGCATTGGAGTCGGGCCTGGTGTGACTCCCATAACCCGATTCTTCTGTGCTAAGACCTGGACCCCAGGTGTGGGCGACGAGGCAGGGTGTCAGGGTCTGTGTCGCACCAGAGGCCCATGTTCTGGAGGTGGGGCCAGCAATGTGTACAGCACTCCCTCCCCCCCTCACTGCTCATGGGCGCACTGCCAGGGAGGGCGGTGTGGCCCCGCCCAAGACCCTGTACTCCTTGGCTCTTTGTTCACCAACTATGTGTCAACAGCATGCTCCAACTTCAGAGCTGGAAAAGACTAGAGCTCTCCTCCGGGATGGCCCATGCCACAAGGACACTGGATGTCCCTGAAAGAGGTGTGGCACCCTCAGACGAGACCTCAGAGATCCCCACCTCCACCCCTTGTGTCATGCAAAGGCCCAGGGAGGGCGAGGCAGATGTCACACAGGAAGCTGCAGGTGGGGCCAGCACCCACGTGGCCTGCCTCGAAGCCGAGGCCTTTCCAAGTCTGTGGGCTCTGTGGGGACAGGGCTTAGGCTCCAGGTATCCCCTGTCCCCAAGCCCACCATGATGAGCAAAAGGTGTCTGCAGGACAAACACTGCCAGGCCTCCCAGGACCAACCTGTGCCACTGCAGGGTTACTGTGGAAAATGACACCACCTAACCGGGGTTGACGGGAACCATCACCTACTACTTCTTAGAGGCTTGACCACTACAGGCATGCAGGGACTAGAATGTTCTTTTAGAATCAGAAATTCGGTGAAAAATGCTGAATCAATTCTGAGGCCATGCCATGAATGAGATCACGACCAGCCAATCTCCTGGGAAGCCGGAATGTGGCATGTGTATGGGTAGGGGTGGGCGTGGGGTCCCATGTGATCACAGAAATGTGGGCATGTGGGGTGAGTCCCTGGAGATTAACAAGTCCAGCCCTTTTTGGGGTGGGCAATGGAGGACCAGGGAGGGCCAGCTTTGCCCGGGTCACACTGAGGCCAGTGGAGCCAGGGTGGAGGCCAGCGGACACTGGCTGGCTGCTTCCAGTTGAGCCTTGGTGGCCTCTGGGGTCTCTGCATCCTCAGTCCGTCCTGAGCAGGGAGAGTGCCTGTTTGAAGCTGAGAGCGGAGCCCCGTGGCAGTGCCAGACTCGACGCTGCCTGGCAGGCTGGAAAGCTGGCTGGGTGTTGTACAAAGCTCTCAGCACCAAGGGCAGACCGAAAGCCTTCTGTGCCACTCCAGGCTCTTTCCCTCTTTCCAGGACGGACCCTACCAGGACTGTACTGAAAACATTCTCTACCCCCCAGGTGTGAAGATGGAGGGAGGGGACACATACCTTCCAGCAGGGGTCCTCATTGGCTAGCACAGGGAAGAAGGGCGGAGAACATGTTAGCGGCCGTTGGAGGAGCACAGATCAGGACTGGAGTCCATGAGGCCTCATGTGGCAGGTGATCTCACCCCAGGGCGTGATGGGAGTATCACAAGGCCCCCATGACACCTTGGCTCTTGCCTCGGGGCATCATGGGAGTATCACAAGTTCTCACTCCCAGGCAGGACGGGAGTAAGGATCTCTGCCCTGGTCACAGCTAGGAGCCCCATGGGAACAGGCTCATGTGGCCCCTGTGCTCACTGAGGCCATGTTGGCAATGAGCTGCCCAGGGAGCTCACTGAACCCCTAAAAGTTACTTATTTTCAACTCTTTTTTGGCTGTAACCCACTATCCTTCTAGTAAGTGATGCCAAACCACACATTTTAATGATCGCAAACACAGGTATCTTTCAGGTTCTGAATCAGATCCATCTGCAAATAAGGCCACCCAGCAGGGAGAACAGTGCTGGCATCTGCACAGCCCTCGACAGCTCACAAAGTGCAGTCATGCTCACCCCTCAAGTCACTGTCCCAGCTCTGAGAAGCAGGGAGCTGTGGACCTACTTTCTAGATCAGTAAACCAAGGCGCAGGGAGGGATGGCGACCTGTTGAAAGCTACACAGAATCCCAGGAAGCCAGCCGTCATTTCCCGCCCCTGGGGCTGCCTGAGGTTTTCTAACTGGAGAGCTGGCGGCTTCCTGCTGCTGTTGGAATGCAAGGGTGTGGCTCTCCGAGGTCCTGCACTGGGGCACGGCTGGCAGAGGGGGAGGAGCCCTGCACACTCAAGTGGAGGCCTTAGACCAGGTCCCAGCCTGAAGATCCAGCCCAACGCCTTGTACAGAAGGAGCCCTCGGCCCAGGGCAATGCACACAGTGAGGCAGAAGCAGAGGCAGAGGCAGAGCTGGGTTGAGATCCCCACCCCAGCCCAGCCTGTGCTCTCCCAATGCCTAGAGCAGGCACAGGAGGATGGGCAAGGTGTGGGCTGAGAGGCACCAGCCCAGCCCAGGGGTATCAGAGGCTGCCCAGGTGTGGGGAAGAAAGGTTCTCTCCAGCACAGTCTGGAAGCAGCAGCACCTGGGCTGGCCCACACCGGCAGAGGCCACACTGGCCACACTCACACCTGTGGCCCAGGCTGTGGACCTGTCCTAGACCACAGCTCCAAGCTCACACACAGGCTGCAAGAGGAGCGGGGAGGTGGGAGCAAAGCGTCCTCGCCCTCCTCTGCCCAGGTCCTCTCAGCACAGCGTCCTCGCCCTCCTCTGCCCAGGTCAGCCCAGTGGGAGGCAGACCCAGCCCCGCCCAGGCCCAGGCATGGAGGACCACCCAGGGATGACTCTCCGAGGCCCTGAGCAGCTCTGGCAGAAGGTCTGAAGCTGGTGCTTACCTCTCGCTGTGAGGAACAGGGGGTTGTTGACATAGTTGGAGGCCAGCCGTTTCCTCTGCAGGGACAGAAAACAAAACACACCCCATCGTCTGGAGGCTCTCCCCACGGACAGGGCAACTGCAGGGCCTGGAGCGGACTGCCGCTGCACACGAAACGCCTCCCTCCCTCTCGAGCTCAGGTTCCCAAGACATGGGTTCTGGACAGTGGCCCCGACAGAGGTCCACATCCTGGGAGCTGACACAGCACTTCCTCCAGGTCTCACAGAGCTGGTGTCTGGAACATACTAGGCACTGACCTTGGAGGACATCGTTTCTCTCAGGACAGCTGCCCCAAGCTCTGGACTTTGGGGCACTAAGGAAACGGCTTCCATCCCAGAAAGAGACTCCAAGATCTTGCCCCTAAGAAAGCCCTGAGCCTCTGAGCGAAAGGACCGGACAGACCCTGCAGAGCTGGCTTTGGGGAGATGACCTTAGGATTTTAACCTAAGAATTTTGGACTGTCATTCACAAGGGCAGGAAAGTGTCATTTCTGATCCGGTTTCTCCCTGGGGACATGGTCATGGGCGGTCCCAACCCTGCTGCACTGGACCAATTTTGGTGCAGGCTCTCGGTTCCCCACCCCATCCCTAGGGATAGACGCTTCAACGGGGAGTAGGGAAAGGCACTGGTAACACACACCCCGCCCCTTCTGGGGCGCCCGCCCACTCCAGGCTGCGCACATCCTCAGCCTCTCCCAGCCGTGAACCAACTGCACAGACTCTAGACGAGGTATGTCGTGGTCCAGGGAGGCCAGGGTGTCCAGCACTGCCTGTGACCAGGGATTTGCCTGCTAAGTCAGGGTGAGGAGTCAGGTGCCGGTGATGCTCCCCAGGACGGCCTCTATTAGGAATAAACGGACATCCCTTCTTCTGTGTCTTCCTATCAACTGACTCTGAACTCGGAGGTGATGAATTCACAGTCACCCTGAAGTCCCACTCCCAGGAGGAACAGAGAAGGTAGCAATTAGGAAGGCGAATGAGGGAGGCCCAGGACTGTTCCCGGAGGCTGTGCACGGGGAACCCCCACCCTCCTGGTGGCACAGGGCTTACGGGTCCCCCACCTCGGTCTCCAGGAGGCCGCTGTAGGCAGGGTTGGCTGTGCTTCGTCTCTTCCGCTCCTGTCGCTTACTCTGGATTTCTGGAAAGGCACAGACACAGCAGTTACTGGGTCCTGCCTGCCCTGGGAACCCCAAATGCATCCTTGCCAAGCCCTGGGCACCACCATCCCCTCCTGCTCTGAAGTCTGTCTGCCCAGCATTCAATGCCACAGAGTGGCCCAGGGCAAGTTGTGACCTCCAGAAATCACTCACTCCATGGCAGGACAGCCCTGGTGGCCTCAGGCTGAATGACAGATTGTTGGGGGGTGGCAGGTTCCCAGAATCCAGGTGCCCACTCAGCACAGGGGCCTCCTTGTGTGTCTTTATCTGGCCCATGGCCATTATTTGGGACCCACAGGATGGCAGATACCCATGGGTCTGGTGGTAACACTGGTCCAGTGAGCTGCAGGGTGAGGCTCCCAGCTCCCAGGAGACCAGGAGCAAGCATCCAGGTGGCCCTTGCCCCGGTGCAGCCTCCAGCAGGAATCCTTCACGTGCGAGTGAGAGGGTGCCTAGCCACACTGACTGTGTTTTCTACTCGTCTTTCTTTGCCTTGACCCCCAGGTGGGACCATGACCTGCTTCTCCATGTGCAGCTGTGCTGGCGTCATTTTCTAATCTCTGCCTCCTGGACCTAGTTTTGCTTTTTAAGTCTTTTTAATATTATTCAGCCTGTTTTCTGTAAGGCACTCAGACCTTCTGTGGAATAACACAGGGTCTAAAGAAAGAAATACTTAAGGATATCACAGCAGGGGCTGGGGAGAGGTTTATAAATGAGGACTATTTATAAAGCCAATAATGACACACCTATTAGGAAAGCACTTTTCACTCAGTCCCCTCGCCAACCCTACAATGTCTACAGACGCAGCTTTCCCTGTGTTGCAAAGGAGGAAACCGAGGTTCAGAGGGGGTAAGGACCTTGCCCAGGGACACCCACCCAGTGCATAGGCAGGACTTGAGCATAGACTTCTGTTCCCACAGCCCCGCGCTGCCTCTGTAGCTCCATGGTTTCGGTCGGAGATTAAACCGTTCCCAAAGGCAAGCAGAGGGCAGAGGGATTCATCACACTCAAGCTCACCTGTCAGGCAGGGAGCTCAGAGAACACCTTCCAACCATGCATGCAGACAGGTGAGGAACTTGGAGGGGGCTTCCCTGCCCAAGGATCTGGAAGGCTGGGCCTCTTCCCTGGCCCTCCCCACACTGGCTACTACCAGGGAGCAAGTCGGACCCAGGGGACACAGAGAGAAGGCTCTCTTCTCAGAGCCTGCATGGCAGGCTGGGGTCCCCACGTGCTGGGCTCTGCTGAGCTCAGGAAGGCTTGCTCTGCTCCCGCTTGCCTTGGATGAGCTGTGTGACCTCGGCCAGCTCCTCCCCTCCCCTGGGCTTCTCACTTGCTGTAATGGAGAGAAACTCTACCTTACACTAAAGACCACTAGTGCCTCGGGCACTGTGGGGTTCACTTCATTCCCTACTACTTTTAAGGAGAGGAACGTGAGGCGAACCTCCCTGGACCCAGGTTTACCAGGGCACATGCTTTCACATTATAAAACATCTTCGCGGGTGAGGCGGGTACAGTGGGAGACGTGTGGGGTTGGGAGTCAGGAGCCCTGGATTCCAGCCTGGGCTTGCTATCTACTGGCTCTGAGATCGATCTCGGGCAAGTGAATCAAATTCCTTGGGTGCTTCCCCATGGGTGCTTCCCCAAGGGGGCTGGTTTTGAGGCTTTCCAGGCCCTAAGATTCTATGATGATGTTCAGGGCTCACCTTAGATAGCCCTCCTCATTCTGCTATGATGTCACAGCCCATGTGAAACTGCCCTCATCTGTAAGGTCACACGGCCCCTTTGTAGAGTCACAGAGCCCCGTCTGCTCAAACTACTGTTCCAATTTTGACGGACACATTTGGTGTCAAACATGAAGTCCGCAGGCTAGTTTGACGGCAGGGGAGCTGGTGGGCAATTCTCCCACTGTGCTGGGCACTGCGTCCAACAATCGAGGACGGTTCAGCCATTACCCATTTTACACATGAAGAGACGGAGGCACACAATAGCAACCCACCCACCATAGAGGGAGTGGGGGAGGGGGGGGCCTGCCTTTTTTTTTTTTTTTTTTTCTGAGATGGGTTTTCACTCTTCTTGCCCAGGCTGGAATGCAATGGCATGATCTCGGCTCACTGCAACCTCTGTCTCCTGAGTTCAAGCGATTCTCCTGCCTCAGCCTCCTGAGTAGCTGGGATTACAGGCATGCACCACCACACCCGGCTAATTTTGTATTTTTAGTAGAGACGGGGTTTCTCCATATTGATCAGGCTGGTCTTGAACTCCTGACCCCAGGTGATCTGCCTGCCTTGTCCTCCCAAAGTGCTGGGATTACAGGCAGGAGCCACAGCACCCGGCCAGTCTGCCTCTTGTCATTTTCCTGTGTTGCCTCCAGTTTGAGGGCAGGGAAACCACAGGGTCCCTCCGCTGAAACAAGGAAGTGCCACGGTACGTTTTGTGCATAGTCATGGAGCCAGGGTGAGCCTGGAAGGTTTCTCTGTCCTGTTTGTCTTTGATGACAGCCACCCAGCCTCAGGTACATGGGCCAGACCTCCTGGGAGGTGGTTCACATTACAAACGCTGTCACCTGAGCCGGGACATCCTGAGACCAATGCAGTGGTGTGAAGCCACACTCCATCCACACTGGCTGCTGCTGAAGCCCAGATCACCTGCCGTCATCCCTGGCCCTCAACACCCTGGCTTCCAGCCAGTCCCAGCCCAGCCTTCCAGCCAGTCCCAGCCCAGCCTGCCGCTACCTGGATCCTTCCTTACCTTCCAAGTGTTCTGTGGTAACCAGGCCTAGCGCTACCATGAAGGCGATTTTCTGAGGGAAAGAAGAGACAAAGGAGCATTAACATGACTGTCAATGTTCATTCATGCACTCAAAAAACATCTGCTGCAGTAGGTGCAGGGCGACACCTCCTGGGTGCCCCAACCGCGGTGGCCTCCAACTCCAGATGCCAAGTCATTTTCTAAGAAACATGGGGAAACAGGATTCCCAAAAAGAACATCTACAGCTCAGTTTGGAGGGGCTCCTTGAAAACACTGGATACACATATTCAAACATACTTTAAAGGGCTAAGGTGCACACAGCTGGGCTAATCCTCTTGTGTGCCCCAACCGCTGAGGCCCCAACTCCAGACACCCAGTCAGTTTCTAAGAAACATGGGGAAATAGGATTCCCAAAGTGAGCATCTACAGCTCAATTTGGAGACACTCCTTGAAAACACTGGACACACGTATTCTAACATACTTTAAAGAGCTAAGGTGCACACGACTGGGCTAATCGCTGTCACTGGTTCGTAACACATCACTGGTTCGTAATGCAGCTGCATCATTGGTCCTTTCGTGGCTCTTTCATTTTGTTTAATAATAAATTCAACACCATGAACCTACTAATAAATTCAAAACCTGACACTTGACCCATAAGTTGCACCTGTTCTGTGCTCCTCTGCTTCTCTCATTCATTTCGCCCTCATTTCTAGTGATCCTAATCCTTATTCAGTTCTGTCATTACCATTTCCTTGACTTTGTATACACGTGCATATACTTCTGTCACTTACGAAGCAGGATGCCATTTAGTTTTACCTGGTTTTTTAAGACAGGGTCTCACTCTGTCACCCAGACTGGAGTGCACTGGTGTAACCACAGCTCACTGCAGCTTCGATCTCTGGGGCTCAAGTAATCCTCCCACCTCAGCCTCCCAAGGAGCTGGCACCATAGGTGCACACCACTGTGCCCAGCTAATTTTTGTATTTTTTTGTAGAGATGGGGTTTTGCGATGTTGCCCAGGCTGGTCTTGAACTCCTGGGAGCAAGCCTGCCTCAGCCTCCCAAAGTGCTGGGATTAGAGACGTGGGCTCACCATGCCCAGCCCTTACCTGTTTGTGTGAAAAAGTCATGACACTGTATTGTCCTGTATTGTCTGCAGAGCTCACTATGGCACTTTTTTTCATTCGACATTTGTCTGTGGTAGAAGGCAGAAATCTAGAATGGCCCCCAAGCCCCTACCCTGTGGTGTAGCCACCCGGTGTCATTCCCTGTCTTGAGTGTGGGCAGGATTAGGTAACATCACAGGGCAAAGGGGTGCTGGAGCCACTCCTGTGACATATTATGTTAACTAAGACCCCTGTAGGTGACTGGAGTGAGGCTCTCTTGCTGGCCTCGAAAGAGAGCCTGCCAGGGGTTCTGTGGCCACCACTCTGTAAGAGGACTAACCCCCGGAGCCCCACTCAGGGCTGGCCACAGAGGAGGTGCTCGTGAGAACCTGATGAATCTGTGAGTAAATATTTCCTTGTGCATGATATGATTTGCAATATATTTTCTCCGTTTATCTTCTGGCTTTATATACAGGGCTGGCTTATTTATTGCAGAGTCGTTTCAGATTTATAGAGAAGTTGCAAGACTCATTCCTGAGAGGTCCTGTATACCCGACACCCAGTTCATCACAACTAAAGAACCAACATCAGTACATTATTATCAGCTAAAACCCATATATTTTTTTGGATTTCTTTAGTCTTTTTGTTTGTTTTTTAGAGACAGGGTCTCACTGTCAACCAGGCTGGAGTGCAGTGGCACAATCATAGCTCACTGCAGCCTCAAACTCCAGGGCACAAGGAATCCTCCTGCCTCAGCCTCCCAAGTTGCTGAGAGTACAGGTGCATGCCACCATGCCCAGCTAATTTTTAAATTTTTGGTAGAGACAAGGTCTTGCTATGTTGCCCAGGCTAGTCTCAAACTCTTGGCCTCAGGCGATCCTCCCACCTCTGCCTCCGGAGGTTCTGAGATTACGGGTGTGAGCCAGTGTGCCTGGCCCTTAATTTTTCCGTAATGTCTTTTTTGATTTTGTTTTTTGAAATGGAGTCTCCTTCTGTCGCAAGGCTGGAGCATAGCGGCACAATCTCGGCTCACTGCAACCTCTGCCTCCCGGGTTCAAGCGATTCCCCTGCCTCAGCCTCCCAAGTAGCTGGGACTACAGGCACGCACCACCATGCCCGGCTAGTTTTTTGTATTTTAGCAGAGATGAGGTTTCACTATGTTGTTCAGGATGGTCTCGATCTCCTGACCTCAAGTGATCCTCCGCCTCAGCCTCCCAAAGTGCTGGGATTACAGGTGTGAGCCACCGCACCTGGCCAATGTCTTTTTTCTGTCCCAGGATCCCTCATGACATTTAGTCATCAAGCCTCCTTAGACTCTTCTGGGCTGTGAGAGTTTCTTAGCTTGTCCTTTTTTTTTTTTTTTTTTTTTTTTGGATGACCTGGACAGCAGGAGGAGGACCAGGCTGGTATTCCACAGAACAACCCTCAACTGGGATTATGTTCGGTATTTTCCTCCTGAGAGGACTGGGGTGGTGGGTTTTGGGGAGGAAGACTGCAAAGGTAACGCACCTTCTCATCACATCACAGCAAGGGTGCAGACCACCCACTGACTCATCGCTGCTGGTGACCTTGGCCACTGGCTGAGCTGTGTCTGCCAAGCTCCACTTGGCAAAGTCACTCTTCCCATGGCCCCCCGCCCCCATACTGTACTCTTTGGGAAGAAGTCACCAGGCACACAGCTCACGCTTAAGGAGCAGAGAACCAGGCCACTCAGGCTGGGCTTTTTTCATTTTGTTACCATGCATCTACATTAAAAAAAAAAATTTATCGATTTTTAAATTGTAGTAAAAATTTAAAGAAGTATTCACTTTTAATTTAAAAAATTAAATTGTAATACAATTTATCAGTATTTTCTTTTGCAGTGTTTTAATATTTTGGGTCCTGGCTAGAGGTGCTGAGGTTATAGAATAATTTATTTTTGTCTCTATAGTTTCACTTTTTTTTTTTTTTTTTTTTTTTTT